AAAGAAAATATTGAGAGCTAAAATAAAAATTTCAGTGATATCATACAAACAGTACTCCAAAGGTTGTGGTGAAGTCAGGGGAAGGGGTTATTACTTAATGATTCTTCTCTCTCTTTTTATCCCTGTTCCTTCTCCTGTTCCAGTGAGAACTAACAAGATTGTAGGGGTATAAGCCACAGATATGATCTAATGTTATATTTCTGCTTTATTGTATCAGCTAATCTTGTTTGCTTCTTAAAATAAATTCATCTATTTTAGGGGAGCAGGCAGATGGTATAGGAGGCAAAGAAATATAATTTCAAAACTTCCATTAGAAAATAAATACATGTTTAGAACTTGGTAGAGTAAATGTTTAAAATGTGTGCATAATAACTTATAGACTGTAAGGTCTGTCGTTTTAAAAACAGTACATAATTCTCAAGTGTACTAAACTATAAAGATCTGGAATGAAGCAAAATGATACATAAGTGGATTGTAGTTTTGCTAATTTATTTCAGTCCTAATTAATAAGATGACATTATTGGACTAGAACTAATAAAACAAGGCAATGACTACCCATGCCAATATTTGAAGAATAATTATTGTTTTCTTTCTCCTTTTTTAAATCAATATAAAATCTTGGTAGTGGCCACAAATTCTGTAGAAATAAAAGGGTAGACATCAGATGTTACTTTTAGAGGTGGCAGAGCATGCTGGTGAATAGCACCCCTACAGAGTATTTTCCTTCTCATCTGTGGAACCACAGGTAAGCTCTCGCGTATTCTGTGCTTTGGTTTAATCATCTGGAAAAAGGAAATAATGGTGGCAAGATGGAAGAGGGCTGCACACTTTATGTTAAAATTCCTTTCTCCCCTTTTCCTTTTCTACTCTGACATTTTTAAACTTCAAAGACCTTCTTTTATTTACCAGTTCTAAAAAATGAAATTCTAGTCCTTACTTCTGGAAATAGGCTTGTGAAACAAATCCCAGGAAAATAAGGCAATAAGAAATCAATTCTGATAGACCGGTGAGTTGAGATCAAACCGCAATATCAATTTAACGCTCCTGTTCACTATGGAGGGTTGTGTGAAATGGGATAATCTTGTTGCTTTTTGTTTGGCAAACATTCCTTTAAAAACATCCATGCTTCAAACAGTATTGCTTTCCCTTTTGAGCTTTTACTTAAATAATCTCAGATTAGCTGTTTTAATGATTTGTTGACTTGATGTTTAAACTGACACATCTGTTTTTTAAAGGTATAAATAATTTGTGAGAGGAGGAATTTAGCAAGTTCATTTTTTCCCTTCATGCATAAATGTGTAATAGAACCATTACTCTCTTGGATTTCTTATTCAAACACAGATTAAAAATCGTTCTTTTTTAAATTAACAACAAACCATTAGTATTATGAAAAACAGGACAAAATGTAGTGACTGTGCCAATAAATGAGCCCACCAACCTCTGCCTTCTCTCCCAGCCTCTGAACCACCTCAAATGAGGCGTCTGTTGAGAGAACTGCAATGCTGTGGAAAAGCAAAAGCATTCATGCCTTGTCTGAGGGTTTCAGCCCTGGGCAAGTCCACTGTGACTTTGGTAAGACTGAGAAATGACAGTGGAATGTTCTTGGTGTCAAAGGGTTTATGCCCAGCTTTGTTCTCATGCCACTAGGTTGAACACTAGAATCCCATCTGCACCCAGTAGTCTGCAGGTCCCTAAATCCACCTCCCTCTCTGCCTCCACCCAGAGCCCTGGGCAGAGCTCTGACACAGTGACTGAGTCAATAATAGCTCATTGCTAAGGGGTGTGCGAGCAGTAGCCCAGCAGACCAATTACAGCATCAGGCAGCTTAGGGTCAGGTGAGGATCCCAGCCATAGGAGCTTCCATTTTCCTCACAACTGAGTTACTTGCATTGTTGTACTCTCTGCCCATGTTACTTGCAGGGAGTCACAACATAGATTCAGCATGTAATTTTTAACTAATTTATTAATTTATTTAAGGAAGTGAAGTAGAGCTGCTAGCAGCAGGGTAGGAGAAAGAGTGTTTAGTTTCTGCCTGTTAGGAAATGATGTCTGTGTTTGAGAGCTGATTAGGTTAGAATTATAATGTATTTTGAGGCAAGATGTTTGTTCCTTTGTGAGAACTATAGCTTCAGAAGAGGAAGCTTTCTAGCACCTTAGGTAGCTGAGGAGTGGGGAGGCTGTGGCCATCTCCTCACCTAGTAGAAGGCTGTCCCTCATAATGAGAAAACGCCACTCTCTAGAGGATGAGAATGAAACATAATAACTAAGCATCAGTCTCAAGAGTAAAAGCAATACAATCTTTGCAACAAAGTTAATCTCCTGCTTACCTTGGGACTATGCAACTTCATGAAAACAGGGTTGTCTTGCCAATGAGTTTCAGCCCCGGACAAGTTCACTACGGGATTCAATGAGATTGAAAAAGGACAATGGAATGTTCTTGGGGTGAAAGGGTTTACACCCAACTTTATTCCCACAGTGGCAGGTCAGTCACTAGAATCAGTCCGCTCAGAGCGAGTCTGCGTGCAGCAAGCCCGTCTCTGCCCCTGGGCCTCTCTGTCCCCACAGCCGTCTCAGTTTCTGTCCTGGGCGGTACCACCACTCCAACCTCTGCTCTCCTGCAGCCGAGCAGCCCAGAGCACTGGGCAGAGCTCTTCATGCAGAGTCAATAACAATGTATTGCCCACATGTGTGTAGTGAGCAAGCCGACCAGGGCCAGGTGAGAATCCTGGCCACAGGAACCTTCACTTTCTCCACAAGAAGACAAAGTAATTATAAATCCTACCAGAATATTTTGTTTTCTCAAACATGCCTACTGTCTTGCCAATGGGTTTCAGCCCCCAGCAGGTTCACTCTGGATTCAATGCGACCAAGGAAAATGACAGTAAAATGTTCTTGGGGTGAAAGGGTTATACCCAACTTTATTTTCACGGTGTCAGGTCCATTATTAAAATCCTGTTCACTCAGAGCGAGTCTGCATGCAGCAAGCCGGTCTCTGCCTCTGGGCCCCTCTGCCCACACAGCCGTCCTCTGGGCCTCCGTCCTTGGCACTGCCACCATTCCAGCCTCTGCTCTGCTACAGCCTTGCAGCCGTGCCACCATGTCTCCCAGAGCACTGGGTAGAGCTCCTTATATAGAGTCAATAGCAATGTATTGCCCACAGATGTGCAGTGAGCTAGTCAACCAGGGCCAGATGAGAATCCTGGCCACAGGAACTCTCATTTTATCCACACCTACTATTTATATTATTTTCTTCATAACTGATTTTTTAATTTTTTTTAGCTTTTACCCTTATCTAAATAATGATATCAAGTCTAACTCAAGGAATTATATTGTCAAAGTATTTCCCAATATCTAAAATTCAAGCTATTAAAAACCTGTTTCCATTGATTCCAACTTTTAATTAAATCAAGACAGACTAAAACACTAGGCATTTATAATTTTTACTTCTATGCTAAACGCATGACACACCATAGTCCTCTTGTTGGGCAGAAAGGGAAACATAAGTGGGTGGAGGGAGAATAAAGCCAGTAAAGCTCACAAACAGGGACTCACAAAATTAACCAGATGAAGCCAGGAAAGACTCACTGTGTTCACTAGTTGAAGTTTCAAGGACTAGGAGCTACTTGGAATGTCTACACTCTCCCCAGACAAAAACACAACACATCCCAATGAGAAGTTTCCAAGCACTGACTCTCCCCAGAGAAGAGAAAATAAAACATCCACAGACAGGCACAGAAGTCATCAGAGCAGCCCCCGTCTTCTTTTTGCCAATTAGACCAGGCCTCCAAGGCCAAAGACCTTCAGTCAAGGACTTCTCTGCCCTGCTAAGACCCCATCAGCGAAGCTTTAGAGTAAGCTGCTTGTGCCTGTCTAACCCTCGGCCAGCCTGCCCTGCTGTCCAGGGCTAAATTAAATTTACTCTGCCTTCCTAACTTTGGTTTCTTGTCTCACTCTATTTGACTTCCCTGCATCTCCAAACCGACTTTCTCCCCCGCACTCTCTCCAAGCTTTCCTCGTTTCGAGCTCACTGCCCCATTTGCAGTTTCCAGTCCTGCCCTGTGACTCTTACCTATCTGTCCTTTCTCAATTCACTTCCTGGTTTGAAGGCCTTCCTGCCCACCACTCATCCACCCAGCAAAGGCACCCCGTGTTCTGACCGGGTGATGACTCTCTTACAACTCTATGTTCTTTCTTCAACAAGTGTATAGTTGTGGTCTTCCTGTGGCAGAACATAAAAACCTGGAGCGCAGGCACTGAGGTGCCCATCTGGTGTTGTAGGGTCTCAGCACCCAGCACAGGGTGACGGGCAGGTAGGAGGCTCTCAGGTGTTTTCTGAGGACCTGAGTCAGTGTTTTCCTTGTGGCTACGCCAGGAAGCATCAGGCTGTCAGAGAGCAGGCAGGGCAGGCTCTTATTTAACCAGCAAGTGAATTAGTAGGTAGATATGTCCTTATTCACAGAATTTTTAGGGGAATTAAAAGAATTTCCTAATATTAGAAACTATTAGGCAATTATCGTTAATCTTGTTAGTTGTGATGATTATGTGGTTAGGTAGGAAAAAAAAAAAAGTCCTTGTTGTTAGAAACACATATTTAAGTATTTACAGGGGAATGCCATGATGCACATGGAATTCACTCTAAAATATTTCAACAAACTAGATGAAGCAAATGACAAAACAATGATTGTTAAATTTAGTTATGTGTATATTCTAGTCTATTCCAACAATGAAAATGTAACTGGCAGGATGACAAGAACATATTACGAATCTAGAAATTGATGTGATTGCCTTTAGGTGAATCAGTAACAAGTTATACAACACTTATTAATGACAGGATGGGACATGCTGGAGAAAGTCAAATAGAGTACAATTGAAAAGCAACTTAAAATGTTTCACACTAAGATAACCAAAGGACAGCATTCTAAACTACTTATGGGCAACAGAAAGGGAACCTCTTATTTAGAAATAAACTGTTTACATTTAAGAAAATAAGTTTCAAATACTGCATGAGACAAAAATGTGATCATTTATTTCTATTAGGGAAAATAAGATTTTCTTTACATCTCTTCTTGAACGTTTCTTACTATACATGTGAAATCAATGTGTTCACTGACATAAATAAATACAAATAAATTAATCTTAATATTACAAAAGAAAAGATTTACAATTTGGCTATGAACATCTCAGAAATATAGTATCCTTCCTTATGTTAATATTGTATTATCTCTGGATACTTCCAAAGACAGTAAGTCAATGAAGACACTTTTCACTGGGTTTTCTTATCTGTTTTTTTTAAGGCTGTCCTAAGAACAAAATCGCAGCTGATCCATCTTACAAGTAAGGGGCTTTATTCATTATTTGTGCTGTGTGACAAAGAAAAAAAATAATCCTATATACTCTACTCCTTCTTTGCCACCAACTAAACCCAAGAAACTCAACACTCTTGAGTCATTAGCATGTTTTTCCTTTAAAATATTTTGCCAACCCATTTGGACTCATTTTAATGGAGTAAGGAAAGATGAAAATGCCTTACAGTCAGGAGGGATTATTTTATAATGAGGTTCATCTCTCTTTGGCAGCTTTGCTCGGAAGAGACTGGTTTTAGTTTTAGCTTAGTTTTCAATATCCAAGTAACGTTTTGAATTTTTTATTTTCTTCGTAAGTAAAAATAGCATTACACATCTAGTGAAAAAATGTCACTCATTCCCTTTTCTTCATGCTCATATTCTAAGCATGAACAAATGTCTACACTCCGTTACACTTTTAGGAAAGGGATCGCTCTCAGTCTCGTGAGCTGTTCTATTTTCAAGAGGCTGAGAAACATTGAGAATGTGTTTCCAGGACAAATCCTTTCTCCTTGTTTGGCTGGCATTCCTATGCACCACACACCTTAAAGAAGACAATGATCACAGCAAAACCAAGAGCACTATTGGATATATTGTGTCCACTTCTCCAGAAAGTTCTAAGAAACTAGAAATATTCTGTGTACTTGTGTGCACTTTCTTCTTAACTCTTCTTTGGCTAAGTCAGCTAGCCAAGGTTTACTAGCATCACAAGCAAAACTGTCAATATTGTACATGTGTGCCCTGAAAGTTAAAAAAAAGTTACAATTAAAATTATTTTATTTACTGGTGATACACATTAGTTGTTTAGTTACTATGTGATAAACCATGAAAAAGAATTAATTGGTTAATTGGTGGTGTAAAACAAATGCAAAATCAGTAAGCTACAGAATATGGACAACCTCAGCCAGTGTAGCGTGTAGTTAGTAGCTATAGCAACTCCACCTAAAATATGGCACTAGAATGTTTAGTTTCTTGAAATTAAGTGACCAAGTTAGAATCAGTTAAGATACTTTTGGATTAAAAGTCAGTGAAAACCCCTGACTACTATGTGTGGAATTAGAGGAAAGTTTCATCAAAGGAAGAAGGCACCTAGAAAGTTTCACAGGCACATTTACATAAGATTCACAAACATGACATATGAAAGATACCGCAGAGCAAATTTTAATATTCCCCAAACACTGGAAAATCTAAAACCCATCCAGCAAAAAAGGAGAAACACACACAATATAAGGCAATCATCTCACGATGCAAATCGTTACAATGAAGACACTCCTATTTGTAAACTGTAATGTCTCGACCTTTTGTTTTTTCCAAATACCTGTGGACTTGTTTAGCATCCAATCATTATAAGACACTGAGTGCAAAACACAGAATGAGATGGTGGCCATATTGCTGGAGATGGGCACTGATGACATGTCATACTAATGAGAGATTCACCCTGGCAAGTCATTCACCCAACAAAGAAAAACAGTAACAGAGGTTTATGCCTCTGTTAGTCTTTAATGGTCACAGGTAAATCCTGAGCCAACTGTACCGATGGACACTTTGCAAGACACAGAAATGTGATTTTATAAAACCATATACCTTTTATAATTTATTAGGTGGTCTTACTTCTGAGGCATCACCAGTCACAGTTAAATTATGAACAGAACATTGAGAGCTTTGTTGTTCTCATGTGTGTAGTAAGAGCTGAGCAGTGGAGAAGGAAAACACTCATTGAGTTGCACATCGGTCAAAAGAGCAATACCAGCATTTGCTTAAAATTAAACCTTTTACAGACTAAAATTTTATCATACAAACTCAACACTTCTAAAAATAAATAAACCCTTTGATAGGCAAACACAAAGGATCACCAAGTGAAGGTCCATTATCACCTTCACACTCAAATTTTTTCCCTGTCCTCATTAAGAAGAAAGTTTTCATTGAGTCAGTATAAAATCACGAGAATAACCAGGAATGTATAAAGTTAGCTCTTAACCTCAACAGCTCATACTTCCAAAAGAAGGCAAGTGGAGTTTTTAAAGGGCACATGAAAAAGGCGAATTTTTTCACAGGGGTTTGCAGGAATCTCCTCTCATTCAGAAATAGAGGAATTAGGTTTACTGCCAAACCCCGATAAAATTTAAAATAGATATTCCCTCCTCCTATGTTTCAGCATTTTTTTATTCTGTTAAAATTATCACTACCAGTTATTTTACCAAAGTACGTAAAGGAACTGACAAAAGAAAAGACAGGGCACCAAGTGAACCCATCTCATTCCACTCCCCTCGTGTACGGAGCCCGGAGCACCCGCTTTGGAAGGTAAATTAATGAAGCTCTAGTTCAAAAGAAGAGCTGGAACGAATGCAAGAAGTATGCAAGGTCAGTGGTTTACTTTTCTTTCAGAGGAATTTTGCTGAGGCGTTTGTACCAACTTAACTCCCTTTATATGACTTAAACTCTGTTTTTGCTGGGCTGTAAACCACATTCTTAAAAAGTTTCTGAAAAATCTGAAGAGAAAGTTATTTTACTATTTACTATGATAGCATCTAGAATACTTTACTGGCAGCAAAAAAAAAACATCCGTAAAAACTACTTTAAAAAAATCCCAAGGACCTAATGGTCAAATAATTTTACTAAAAGACTGTACCATATGGTGATTTAAAGAACATTCGCATACATTAGCTTATACCAGGCTTAACTAAAAGTGCTAATTTAAGGAGAAAGCAAAAGTCAAACACGGTAAAAAAGTAGATAGCTCACATCATCCAGAGAACTAAAATTGGCAATTTAGTGACAGCATTAAAAGATAATTCTTAATTAATTAGTAAAAAACATAGATAGGCGTTAGGGAAGTTTAGAAATAACTCAAATTTATATGCATTCCACAATTAGTTTTCTGAACTGTAAAATCTACACAGCAGAAGAGTGTTAATTTAAATAATTCTGTCTGTGTACTGGATATGGCAGAGCCATCCATGACTTTACAGTGAACGTATGTATGTTCAAAGCAGGTCAGATGTTTCAAATATTGATCTTTTTTTTCTGTGTTGCTGTATTCCCATTTGAGGGCTTAGCATGTGCCAAGCAATGTTCTACCTCTGCACAGCTGGCAATGCGTTTGGATCTTACTACAACCCCGGATCTTACTACAACCCCATGAGGTAGGTACTCTATTTCCCCCCACTTTACAAATAAGAAAACCAAGTCATAGAGAGGTTAAGTCATTCACAGTCACATGGCACATGCGTAGTAGACCCAGCATTTGAACCAAGCTGTCAGGTTCTGGAGCCTGCCCTCTTCACCACGTGGCTGTTTGGGGCTAGACTAGTGTGTATTAATAAATACAACTCAGAAAAATGCCTCATCACAGGCCATTTAACTATATGTTGCAGGTTGATTTTTCCTAGATTTATTGCTTCTCTACCACACACAGATACGACTATAAAATATACTGAGTAGGGAAAAAGGTGAGTTCATTAATAGATTATAAAGCGAGACTGTGGCTTTCAAATCACTTTCTTTGGAAATGTTAATGTCCTTGAGAACAATGAGAAAATTTTTAAAAAGACACAAAGTCTGTTGATCTGGGGCAGTGATTACACAAGAATAAAAATATAACATGCCAAAAGATACAATTAAGCTAAGAAAGTTATCTCTGAATTAGAGTCAGTTTTACTGAACAGAAGCTATGAATAAATTTTTAAAAATCATCAGAATTTCTGCTCACCCTGATTTTCCATAGTCCCAGATAATTTTGATTAGGATTAGGCTACCAATTATTAAAGTACCAGCAACAAATCCTTGAGGGGGACAAAATTTGATGACACAGTTAATAGACACATGAGCAATGACATATACAGTACAATTTCACAATAATAGATATACTAGTTCTGAGGCAAGTTAAACGAAATAGGAGACATGAATGACATTCTATATGTGGCATCTTATGTCACAAGTTTGACAGTAAAGATCGCATGTTATTTACCTTTTCTTTCACAGAAAAATGACGTAACACATTTAAAATAAAGGAACAATGCTCAAATAAAATCTGTTTGACAGGCTTGAGAGAATTCGAAAGTGTGGATTACATCCCCACCACGCTCAATCTTGGATGCTTTGATCATTGAGCCTTCAAATACGATGACTGAATTAGGTAGTTTTAGCACTAGGAGTTATCTGAGGTTCACTTTAATTCTGTAGACAAGGAAATTAAAACTCAAAAAGGTGAAAGTTACATATGTGGTTAAAGGAAAGGCCATTTACCTAGTCCACAGTAAGGGTAACAGAGATGTGGGCATTGCCCCATCACAAGGAAGGTATCATCATCTGAGCACGGAGGGTAAACTTACTTTGCCTATAGAATATGCCTTCCAGTGTTTAGTCTACTGTAGAAAATATTTCATTTAGGAAAGTTAATATTTACTTTTAAGATTAGATACACTATTTGGAGCTAACCAATACAGAAGAATTGGTCAAATAAGTTGGTCAACAGCAAGTAATTTTTATAGCTTGACTTTTACACATTAATCTTTCTTCTCAAAACCACCATTTCCCCTTTCTCCTCATCACCCTGTTCTTCCTTTACGTCCCCACTCCATCCTCCACCAATGTCCTTGAACTCTACTTTCTTGATCTCAGCTACAAAGGAAATTACAGATGACACTAGAAAAGCCACTGAAGCTAGTGTGCATATTAAGTGTATTTGGTTTAAAATCAACAAAACACAGATGTTGCAAAATTGCACTGCGATATGGATACATGATTTAAAAAACAGCTCTTTCCACCATAGGTAAGGTTTTGCAATATTTCACCCAATTTATTTAACTGATCATCTAGGACTGTATCATTAGCTTGGAAAGACCATATTCATAACATAAATTGTGTCGCTTCAAAATTTTTGAGTTTCTCTTCCCTTCACCACTTGCCATTAATCCTACCATTTTGAAATGATGCAAAAACATCCATTTTCAATTTGAATGATAAATGAAGAGAGAACCCTTTAAAGTGACCCAGAATATCTGGGTGATAGAAATAAAACCCTATTCTTTTACTGAAACACTAACCAGCACATGGACATAATTATAGAAGAAAGTGTGGGGAGGTTGATGTTTTATCAAAAAACCAGAGCAAAATACAGAAATGTGAGACATAGAATTCTACAGAAATGATTCCTCAGGAGATTAGTAAGACAGTATTACATCCCATATTAAAAACAAAGAAAATGTTAAGGTTTAAAGGCAACAGTTTATGATCTCCAAATTCACTCGGTATCTACAGAAAACCAAGGCAAATGAGAATCAGTGTCAATTTAAGACAACACAATTTGGGATAAATGAATCAATGAAATTATGATTATGATTGCAATGTTCCATATCACTCATTGAGGAGCTCCTAGGTAGGAAAATCATATAATTTTAGACAATGGTTTTCTTCTTCTTCAAAAAAAAGTATTTAGTAATGTTCCCCATTATGTAAAACTATATTTACACAGTGTTTAAAACATTGCAAAGCATTTTGCCTTCTACTATTTACCTCCAGGAACTAGCACAGTACTTGGTAAAGAGTAGGGAAGTGTCTCGAAAGTATTTATTAAATTGCATTGAATGAGACTCTTTTTTGCAGGTGAGAAAAATGAGACCAAAAATGTCCAGCAATTTGTTACCAAAAGAAACCTTATTTCTAACCCCAAGTTCAGATCATGATTTTAACTGTTCCTAGCATTCTCAATAAAAATACCTGAGGTTACTTAAACAAAATTTATAGTAGATGGGTATTACATTAATCCATAAAAGTATTATCCCCTGGTCCAAAGAATCCAAGTCAGAATTCTATATGCAAGATCTAGTATGAATTAAGTGCTGTTGCTCTCCTTTTCTGAAGACATGTGGGTTCATTCAGCCACTTAAAAAGTCTCACTTACGTATCTCATGAAGTGGAAATGCAGTTGATGTGATATGAAAAACCAAGCAAGTTCTCAATAAGTTTTGTTCTTCCTTATAATCCTATTTGACATAACAGAATAAAGGCACTGAGGTCTGTGGACAAGAGAAGTCACCTAGAAAAAGACTTTTGTAGGAAAAAGAATGTGCTTGAATAAATCTTAAATTTTCAGATTTACAAATCAGGATTCAACATCACCTCATCAGCAACATCCGTAGGACCCTGTAAGCATCTTGCTATTATCACTGGATTTGCTCTGCTCTATATATTTCTGCCGATTTTTAAAGTAAGAGATATACACACACTTCCCTTTCCAGATTAAACAAACCACTGAAAATTAAATGAGTATCTGAATTCGTAATTCTGAATAACATGTAGATAATTGAAGTCATTACACATTGAGATTTAAGTTTGTCATATGTACCAACAGGTAATAAGACAGTGAAAATCCTTGTATCAGCATCTTACACATTTCAAATAACAACTGATGATTCAAGACTCTAGAAAGCATACTTCAATCTATAATACATGCCATATTTAGGTAGGTATATGAAGCCTAAGTAAATAAGCACGTGATATTTAAAGGATATAGAAGAAGTATTTTAAGTGTTTCCCTCAGTATTCTCTAATGTTTTCTTTAATATTTCTTCATTTGACCTGTAAGTCCCTACAAAGGATGTATGAATGCCAGTATATAGGATTTCATCAATGGAAGGGACAAAAGCAATACTTGTAAAGAATCGGGACCATCTTGTCATATTTGAATCTTGCAGTTTTTTGTCCTGCCACTAGTACAAGAATGTTTCTATCCTTTCAAATATCTGGTGCTGGAGAAACTAGTCATTTGCCTCTAGCTTAGTGCCTAACATCTGTGTGATCTTAGGCAAGTTACCAGTTTTGCCAAACCACAATTCTCTCAGCTAAAAACGGGGACAGAGCTACTATAGGGCTGTTGTGAGAAGTAAATGAAATAATACATATAGAGATCTCAGTACAATACTTGCCACATAGCAAACATATAAATATTACCCTAATAAGAGTGTTATTCTTTGGTACAGCCAGAGGGAATGATAAAATTGTCAGAAACCCATCTTAAGAAAACAATAGTGACTATATTCTATGACTTCTTAATTCTTTAATTTTTATTCATTTTTAGCACTGTGCTAGGAGTGTTCATATCCATTCTCACATTATGCTTCAAAGACTTTAAATAAGAACCGTGATCTCCATCTCATAAATGAGAAAATGGAACTCAGAGAGATTAAGTTAATCACTTGGTTTGAATATTTACCAAGCGGAAAAAGAAAACCAATTGTCAGACTGACTCCAATGCACAAGGCTTCCTTCTATTTGATATTGTCATAAAAGCACAGAAACATAACTGTGTCGGGCATGGGTTCTCAATGGGGGTGGTATCATTTCCAAGAGGGTGGAAAAAAGAGTCTGAATTTTTAATGTGTAAACTACAGATACACATGCAGTACACAGGTTTACAGTATGCCCGTGGCATTAAAATGCCATACGGGATGACTGGAAAAAGAATGTCTAAAAAGCTCATCGAATGGAAAGGGAAATAATGAGAAACGGTTTTTGAGCAACACGGATATAGAGCCAGCAGAGGAACAGCTTTAAAGGTCACAATAAGGGCCTCTCTTATATGGCAAATAAGGGAGTTCCGAGATTAGTCAGCCTCTCTTTCTTAGCAGAATTAAATAGAAAAAAAAAATCAAATATTTCCAAAGTTCTAATACTACCTGCACCATTCACATACATTGCAGTGTACTCAGTAAAGGCAATTCCCTTGCAGTGGAGTTTATCTATCTTTATACTGATAGGAAGCGACCTGATTCACAGAATCAATTTAAGAAATAAGGATGATTTTTAGGTTTATATTTTACAAGTATAGCATCCCAAAGAAAAATACTGTATTGTCATATGTCTGATTTAAGAGGGAAGGAGGTCCTCTTTTTTTTTTTTTTTTTAGCATGATTTGGACTTACAACTAACCCTCAGGGAAGGCTTCTGGGAAATCATGTACTATGTACATCAAGAATTTCAGAGAAAATAGTTGAGCACTTCAAACCTTCATTGAACGCCACTAAGCAAGTGAGAAAAAGCTCATGTATTAAATTCATCACTACTGTCAACATTAAACCATTAAATCATGAGATTTTCATTAAAAATGCTTTTATTGCTATTTAAAATATAGAATGAATAAAATATGATTCCAACTGTTGGAATCTTTCAAAGTAAATCTTTTAGCTTATGAGAGGTTCATTCAACATATAAATAATAGCAATAATAATAAAATAAAAAATATCTGCTTTCAGCTTTATAGATCCTTGGCTAATTCATGCATGCATAAGATACTTGAGCTTATAAGGACATTTTAAAATGTACACTTTTTTAAATAAGAATATTCTCTATTGAATATTACTTCTCAATGTGCCAACTTAGCTGTATTGCCTCTTAACAAACATTTCTCTTGCCATCTTCTTTAGGAGTTTATTAGTCTTCTTTTTAATACATAACATCAAATAAGACATTTATGGACAAAAAGAAGGTATGGCGTGAATGCTAGAAAAACTTGCAACACAGATGTACGATTTTGGCCTTATGTCTACAACAGAATATATTTTTAAAGATTACTTTAAATCACTGACAGAGAAGGGAAAAGGAAGAGGATGTAATCAAAGACAGCACTCTTTCTTTTATTCAGGGTAGACAGATATCTAGAAATGATCAAGGAGTAGTTTATGATTAACTATAAAATGCTTGAGGATAGGAACCATACTGTAACATCTCCACTGTGTGGCTTTTCAGCCCCTAGAATGATGCATTGACACAATAGGCACTCAATAATACTTGATTGATAGGCCAAATGATCTGAAGTTGTCCTAAAATTACCTTGGAACAAGAACATGGTTGGGAATACTTAGAAACATACCGAGTACCTAATGGTGTCCATAAAACACGTCGATAGAATGCATTTACCTGTTTTCTCTTTGGCCCCCACAAACACCGCACTTTAATAGCATTTCTAAGACAGTTAAAAGATAATATTCTCTTCCAGGAATATGGATTATACATCCCACAGTGATGACAATTTCTTTTAACTGCTGGAGGGCCAAACTTACCAAATGTAATGATGGTAGCACCTAAAGAAGGAGAAGAAAAAAAAGAGAGTTATAGAAATAAAAACTTTAAAAGGTCATTGATTTGCTAGTATATATATATATACATATATAAACTGCACTCGAAAGTTCAAAAGTAACTCAGATTGTGTAACTAAAAGAATTATGAATAAATTTATGAGAAATCACACATTATTAAATTAATATTCACACCAGTGCTTTTATCTATTTAACAGAGACAACACTATAAACATAAACCACGATCAAACACCATCTAAATTTGGTTATATGACTTAATGGCAAGAAAAAGGTTTGAAAGCTTAAACAGTAAATACCTGCTGATCCAGTTCTATGATCAAGGAACTTTCAGAAACTGAAGTCTCTTTCAGCAGACTCCAAACTTAAATTACCATCTTGCCTTATTATTTATACCTTTCAATGACTATAAATTTAGGTACTGCAAAAATAACTGTGCTTTCAAATAAATGTATTTATAATAATAAATATGCTGCTCTCTTGCTCTCTTAAGTGAGGTGAACAAACTTGTTCAAAGTATCATTGAGAAGAGACACTATTACACAGCAGAAAAAGCACGGGATTTGGAGCCAGCATATATGTGTTTAAACCACAATACTCTTCCTGTTAACTATGCATTGTATTTGAATCATTCAAGTTAAAATCTCTAAGCCTTCAATTCATCATCTATATAAACTGAAGCCAAAAATACTTATTTTGCAAGGTTCTGATACTGACTCGTGTCAACAGATGGAAGGTGCATGGTACATGCCAACACAGTATATAGTCAGTAAGTGGTAGTTACTACTATTTTTTCAGTATGAGCTAAGAATGGTATATGATATTTAAAGAACAAATTAATTGTCCATAAAAGAGAAATCTGATCCCAAATACTGGTTACATTTTCACCAGAACTGACTCAGGTTTAGTGTAAATTTATTAAGACTTGTATTTTTGAAGAAACAGTTCAACAAAGTTAGCTCTATAGCAAATTTACATAAAGTGAAATACATTTCTCTTTGCCTTGACCTACTAAAAATTGGGTGTATTCAACCTAAAACTTTAAGGCCCAGAGATGTCATGAAAATGTAAGAAATCAGTAATTGCACACAAGTATTAATGAACTAAAGCTAATGTGTCAACATAAGCCACAAAACCAATGTTGAGTGCAAAAAGTCAACTTAGGTAAATATATGACATTCTGTTTACATAAATTATTTAAACAATGAAACAATATTATGTACTATCTATAGGTACATACAGCCTAAGAATAAAAACATAGACTGGAAGTTTGCACACCAACCTAAGGGAAGTAATTACCTTAGAGCAGGAGAAATGGGAGTTGGAAAGTGGGCAAGAAAACTAACACTATATCTGTAATGTTTATACTTAAAATATCCAGGTAATGACAAAACAGACTTCAAGATAACAACTGTGAAATGTATGAAAATACAGTCATAATGTATAAAACTATTTAAAAAACACAACTGATATCACTGAAGATTGACCAAAAGCAGGCAGGAATTGAAGTTCCTCTTTTCAACAGGACAACTAAATGGCATGAGATTTTGTGTATTTGTGTGTACTTGGCTTTTTACCTAAGGGAATATAGAAATACATAAAGGGAATGTCAACAATATTTATAATTTTTTAAGTTCTTAAAAATTGTCTGGGTTATGGTGAAATAGAATTCAACATAGCAATTATGAAATCTGGACAAAGTAATGAAAGACGACAATAACGGTGATTTGAAGGCACTGGAAAACAAAGTAACACAGCGAGAAACTGATCAAAGCCAAGAGAGAGAATTTCGGGGAATGAGATTTATATATATGCTGCTAAGGCAAATTGCTAGGCCACATGGTTAGGGAGCAGAAAGCCAGCCTTACTGGCTTGAGAAGTCAGAATGGAGTTCAGGATCAACAGAGCATCTGGAAAGTGAGGGGACAAATCTAAGGGGATGCTATGGTTCTATTTTCTTGACATTTGTGGTGGTTATGCAAGTATTTGCTTCAGACAAGTTACTGAGTTATGTATGTCCGCTCTGTGCAGTTTTCAGTATGTGTGTTGACTTCAGTGAAAATGTGAAAATAATTTCTTAAAAAGTTATCTCCTGGCTCAGTTCTGTCAAGATTTTTCAAGGAATTTAAAAAATGGGGATCTCTAATAGAGAACATGAATAGCTATAAAAATGGCTATACATTAGGCAACTTGTAAGATAAGAAGAAATTCAGTGGCCTGAAGTAACAGCAGCTAGTAAAAGGGGTTTCATTCATTTACTCCACAGGTATTTCTGAAGTCTATAGCATACGGTACTCCACTTGCATAAAAACTGTCATTTAAAGAGTCTTATATTAATATGAACTATTTCAAAGAACTCTGTGTTTTCAACTACTTGGGACACACTGTTGAGATGCTTTACCAAGTTCAAAGCTCTAAGGAATCTGGAGAGATCCTTTCGCATGCTTGAGTCTCTATCAGTGAACCAGACCCAGAAATCAACCTTGTGGATGTCACCTATTTGGTTCTTTGAAGGGTCTTAAGGAATTCAAGACTCCCTAAAGCTACTATAGAAAACAGAATTTTTTCACCAACCTTATTTCAGGATGGTTTTCATGAGGCCACAACTTTTTTAATACCACTGCAAAATGTTTCTTTTCTAAAGATTTGCCCTATCACAGTCTAAGTCTGCCTCCGAAGATTTTGGTTAGAATAGATCAAGAGACTATTGAGTTTTGTGATCCTGGTCAAGTTGAAGTTTCTACTAGAGTGCATTACATCCATACTTGGAAACCTGAACACTGTCAACTGACCTGAAGGAGTGGTTCCTCTTCCTTTAGAAGTGCTTGTTGCATGGAAACGTGTGGTTGTCCTGGAAACAGCTGGTCTCTGTGTCGCTGCAATATGAGCAGAGGTCAATCTTTGTGTTGTGTGGAGACGCTTAGTCACAGGGACATGTACAGCAGTGGACTTTTGTGTTCCTGGAAGACTCTGTGTAAATGAAGCTTTTGCTGTGGTGACTCTCTGGGTTGTTCGTGTGGCCTGTGTAGCAGAAGAATTTGCCTTGATGGGGTTCTGGGATGCTTGTGGGGTCTCTGTAGATACAGTGTTTGAGATGGGGGATTTTTTGGCTGTTGTGGATGAACCATTTGCTGTAGTGGGTTTCTGAGGAGCTGAAGGGGTTTCTGCAGCTGGAACATTCACAGCGGTGGGTTTCTGAGCAATTAGTGGCAGCTTTGTAGCTGAAGAATTTATTGAGGTGGGTTTGTGAGGAGCTGATGGGGTTTCTGTAGCCAGAACATTCACAGTGATGGGTTTCTGAGGAGTTAGTGGGACCTTTGTAGCTGAAGAATATATTGAGGTGGGTTTGTGAGGAGCTGATGGGGTTTCTGTAGCTAGAACATTTATAGTGGTAGGTTCCTGAGGAATTAGTGGCAACTTTGTAGCTGAAGAATTTATTGTAGTGGGTTTGTGAGGAGTTGATGGGGTTTCTGTAGCTGGAACATTTACAGTGGTGAGTTTCTGAGGAGTTAGTGGGACCTTTGTAGCTGAAGAATTTATAGAGGTGGGTTTGTGAGGAGCTGATGGGGTTTCTGCAGCTGAAACATTTACAGTGGTGGGTTTCTGAGGAGTTAGCGGGGTGTTTGTAGCTGAAGAATTTATTGCAGTGGGTTTCTGAAGAGTTGATGGGGCTTCAGTACCTGGAACATTCAGTGTGGTGAGCTTCTGAGGAGTTGGTGGGGATTTTGTAGCTGTAGCACTTACTATAGTGGTTTTCTGAACTGCTGGTGTGACCTTGGAAATGAAAGAACTTCCTATGGAGGAAAAAAAAATTGTTTTTTAATTAGCTATATAATGCTTGAGGAACCAATTGCTTGTTCCGTGACTCTTTCTTTCCCCACAAATACCTAAATAGTACTTTTTAGGAAACCAGGTTTTATCGTGTATTTCCTTAAGAAGTGAATTACGACATGTTTTTGCTTTGATATAAATTATATCTTCAGTCAACTAAAGTGGATTTACATCAAAGTAGTATTGAGATTCTTAAATTGTCTTCTGTGTGAAGAAAGGAAACCAAAGTTGGAGTTGGCAATGATCTCATTCTGTGATGCACCCCAAATAAAGATATTTTCCCTCCTAAATTACCTTCCCATGTTCATGCCAAGACCAAAGAGCAGATGAAACCATTTGACCAACAGAGAGAATCACAACATAGTTACTTTTTCCAAAGTAATATGAGGACATGTTCGTGGCCTTGGCAACTTGTTCTGTTTCACTTCTTTTTTAAGTAGTGAAGTCCATTGGAATAACATCAATCCCTTGTCTCTTTTTGTGCTGGTTACCAACTTCAAATACATTAGTTTAGTTCCTCTGAATCATAGACCAGATAACAAACATCTGAAATCTAACTTCAGTGAAAATCCTGTTCTGAGAATCAGAAATCTAACAGCAGAGTAACAGGTCAGGCTTTTAATGCCTGTTTGACTTCGGGTTGCTCAGACACACTGCCTCTCAAGGCAGAATTAAATAGTGCTGAAGCCTGTTGTGCTACACACTGCAGACTCCTGTCAAGTTCTCTAATCCCTCTAAGCTTAGGTTGGCTCATCTGTTAAATGAGCATGGAAACAAAGCAGATTTTATAACATTACAGTAAGGAATAAGGGAAATAATTTAGGTAAATTATTTCATGGAGTGTCTGTCCCTGAAGGAACATGTCAGATTATCCAGCAGGACCACTGCCTGCACGTCAGCTCACGGGCTGCTCTGGGCACTCAGGTGTCCTGTGTTCTTTATTTCTGCTCTCTTCACCTCTCTCACAGGGTGCTAGGTGGGATAACGCAAGTAAAATACCTAGCAGGTAATATAGCAGTAGACACTCAAAAAAAAAATAGGTATTATTATTAAGGTAAGTCAAGTTTTTATATGGACTTTTCATTTGAGGCCCTCATATATAAAATTTATTCTTTGTTTTAACAGTTAGTTCTCACTTTTGATGCAGAGGGCTTCTATACAACAATAGCTTAAATTTCCTGAGAAGTTACTTTTCTAGTTATCTTTTTAATTGGTTATTTTGAGTCTGGCAATGGTCAAATGAAACGTGTTTGCCATCCACTTGATATGGTTCAAGCTTCAAGTGTCAGTTTTTTTTAAAGTTTGTTGCTCTGAGCTATATTCTTATTGATTTTTGATTGTTGAGATACATAAGTAGAATTCTTGAACTATAGTTATGGATTTGTCTATTTTTCTTTCTGTCTGCTTTTACTACAGATTGAAGCTATTTGGATAGTGCACATAGATTTCACATGGTGATCTATTCCTTTGAACTGACCCTTTTATCATTATGAAATGTCTTATACTGAAGTATACTTTTCTGATATTAATAGTTGCTTTTATTTCTTCATTTTAGTAATCATTTGCACAGTATATTTTTCCATCCTGTTCTTACCATTAAACTGTCTCTTGTAAACAGAAAATAATTAAGTTTATTTTTTAACCTAGTCTGACAATCTTAGTCAAATTACACTTAATGTCATTACTGATATAGCTGGTTTTATATCAAATGCCCTCTATTAGTTTTCTATTCTACCCATCTATTTTATATTTCTGTCTCTCCACCTCTTCTCTTTTTTTTTTTAACACGTTAGAACAGTTTAACACGTCTCAAATGTCTTTTAAACTTTCATCTCTATTTTATGCCTTTTCTCTCTTTGTGCTTTAGTTTGGGCATTTTTAACTAACCTCTCTTCCAGGTTGTAATACTGTCTCCTGCTGAGCCCAAATCACTGTTAAACCTATGTATTGTGTTCTTAACTTCAGACATTATATTTCCCAGGTGTAGAATGCCTATTTTACTCCATTTTTATAGATTCCAATTCTGTGTTGAAATTCCCTATTTAGCTTTTCCTTTAATATCTTAAAGATACTAATCACTTTAAAATCTCTGGTAACTCAAATATCTTGTCTTTCTGTGGTTTTATTTTCTTCTGATTTGGTTATAATTTCTTGCTTCTTCGCACATTGGTATCATATGCCAAACATTGTATATAAAACACCCACATATGATCTTCCCGGGAGAGGGTCCCCTTTTCTAACAGGCAGACTGGTTTAAGGTCATCCTTCCTCAGCCTCCGAGGCACTGAGCTGGTTAGTTCTAGACCCAGCCTACCTGTGCTTGCTCTCTGTTCCTTGGGAGAGGCACTTCTGGGCTTTTCACTGACAGCCTGGTAGATCTCTGTTTCCTCAGCCCCAAGAGACTGTGGGGGAGCCAGGTCTCCCGTTCAGCAGCCACCCAGGGCAGCAATCTAGCCTCCTTCCCCCACAGCTTCAAAATGGGCACACATGCCTTAAGTCGGGGAGACTGCTGTGTGCCTGACACAGGCCTGTTCCTCTGATGGGTATTCGTTACCTGGATACCATAAGGCTCAGAGAGATTTCCTCTGCACTTTGGATATTTTGGGTTTGTCTTCCCAGTCCCACATGCCCGGAGACCAGCAAATGGCCCTGGAGAAGAACCGGCTCTGCATTTGAGGACCTCAATTTCCAGTGTACTATCCTAGCCCACCACAACCGTGAAAGGCTTTGCTAGTTTCTCTTTCCTGGCAGCGGTCTTTTATCTGGGTCAGGGTGGATTCTCGACCCAGGTACCCTGCAGAATGGTTCACCCTCAGTCCCCACCCCAGAACTTTGAGTTCATTCAGTCCTAGTTGTAGCCACAGTTGTATCTTATGCTTTTATAAATGTGATTTTTAAAAAACCCTTGCAGCTTTTGTAGTTACTATAATGGGAGCACTGGCCTGCCATGACCTACTTGGACACTGCCATAAAGAATGGTCAGTGAGAGAGAGGAATTCTGGAGGTGGGAAATAAATGAATGGAACACGATGTTAACAGCTAGCCAGGTGTTCCTCTCAGCTGTCACAACATAGATAGTCACTGTCCAAATCCCTCAGTCCATCCAACATTCCTTCCCAACTGAGATTCCCAACTGAATAAAAGACACCATTTCATATGTTTTCTGTATAAACACAGACCTATGTTAACTTATTAAAAGTAACATAGTAAGAAATAGCAAATTTCAGTAAATTCACTAAACACACAAGACATATTATATGTATGTGTGCATATATGTACATCTATATAGGTATGTGTGTGTATTTGTATATTTAATATTACCACATGGTCCCCACATCAGTGACTCTTTCTTTTTTAAAAATCATTGACTTCTCTGAGACTCTGATGAAAAATTGTGCCCCTCCAAGAAAAAAGGGAAATATGCATATGTACAACATTTTACGTTCATTTCTCAGGGGAATCATAGGACCTCTGTAGTTGACCTAAGAATAAGCATAAAATAAAAAAGTTATGGAAATGAGTTACCTTTGCATTCAGGGGGTGGACCACTCCATACTACTTGGTCATTTTTCACAGTACAAGAAATAGACTTATCTCCGATCAAGGTGAAGCCCTTTGCACATTTATATGTTATAGACTGTCTATATACATAAATGTTCTGTGGCTCTTGAATTACTCCATTGTCAATTTCTGGTGGTTCTGGACAGGATATTTCTTAAAAAAAATTTCAATACATATTAATAAAACTGGCTATGTATTTTTACATGTTAAGATATTATTTTAAAAACATGTTAAAGATTTTATTTTTAAAAAAATCAAAATCTACCAGTTTTCTAAATGCAGCATTATCAACACGGGATGCTTATAAATGCCTATTAAGTAATGGGGAGTATATTTGGAGCTCTGCATACAAATATTGTAAAATATGAATGCTAACTTTGAGACCAGTGTATATGAATAAAAAGATTTAGAACATTACGTAAAACAAAAACTACAATCAAGTCTGCACATATTACCTATCACACTGGTCCTAGAGAAAGTAAATGCTGCAGGAGTTCAGAGATGACAGCATGGCACAGACTTTAGGGAGCAAATGGGACTTGAGCTTGAACCTAAGGTGTACCCTTCTTCTAAGGCAGGGCACACAAGAGGGCATTACTTTTCACTCCAGGGTGAAATGATACCAGATGAAAGCAGTTGGGAACTCAAGTGACACACTTGGAAATAGGAATAGATCATCTGGATAGAGCAAAAAGATCTTAAATGTGGGATTACATTTTGACAGTAGACAAAATTTTTTAAACATGTGTTGACTCACAGCCTTTTATTTAAAGTAAATCTTACTGAACAGCCGAATTTGTAAAACAAATAAGCAGAGTCACTGTGGTTATATTATAAAAAGAGGCCTCTTCCGGCAGTCTCCCTGATAAAAAATTCAATAGCTCCACATTCTCTAGAGCCAGGAAGTTGTTTTTCTTTTTTTAGGCACAAAAGCAATGTGATCATGCATACGTCAAATTAAATCACACTGAATGGCCTTAAGTATCCAGAGAATACTGGCAAATTCATAAATTACTTTTAGCCCATTGATCAAAGCAAAGAGTAAGGACAAGCTAATCTGATTTACAGTGGATTTGGTGTGCACTGACTACACACATTACTATCAGTTCAATTTAAATATATTCTGAGCAGACATTGTTCTATAAACAGAAGTGCAAAACTGAGTAAGATAGTTACAATGTCTTAAAATAGAGTGAGGAGAGATCCAAAGAGATCATTTCAATACAAAATAGTGGGGCTCATCATTGAAGAGTGTACCATGGTGTGGAAAGACAGAAGGACAGTTAAGCAGCTTGGGAGGTCAGGGAAGGACTACAAGAACAGACTCTCAATAAGAAGAAAAAAAAAACAGCCAAGCAAAGAAAAGCTGAAGGACAGGACAGGGAGGGGCAGCAGCATCAACAAAGATGTTAGGGGCATAAAGAAGCGTGAGGTACATGGTAAGCTACAGCAGTTTGCATGGGTAGAACATAAAGTATGGGAGCAAGACATAGCACGGAGAAGCAGGTAGACCGTGGCTAGCCTTGTATGCTACACTAAGAGTTTGGACTTCGTAAGCAATGAGGAGACACTCATAAGCTTCAAGAAGGAAAGAGGCAAGTCACATTCATTTTTCGGATGGATCACTCTGGATAGAGTATGGCTGAAACGCTAAAGGAATGTGAGAATGGAGGACGGAGGTCACTGCAATCGGTACCAGCTTTGAACTCGGGCAAGTGGGACTCCTGCCTGCTCCCACACTTTACAAGGCCATGCTCTGCCCCCATCCGGCTGTTTCACTCACTACTAGGCGAGGTGTCTGTAGGGCTGAGAGGAAATGCTCAGTGATAGCTCCGCCTACCCCATTTTAAATCATGCTCCAGGAAGTGGAACCCAGAATTCCCTGTGCCAACACCCCTGTCAGGGCCTGAGAGGTCCCTTCTTCTGCTCTATATTCTCTTTTTTTTTTAAATATGTAATGCTTTATGAATTTGTGTGTCATTCTTGAGCAGGGGCCATGCTATGCTCTGCATTGTGCAAATTTTAGCATACGTGCTGCCAAAGCAGACATATAGTCAATATTCTTTAGGATGGTCTATACTGCACACCTCTAACCCAAAGTTCAATGGAATGGGAGTAAAGGTCGTAAGGGTCATAACTTGGGTGCTTAGGCCGAGTTGTCCATTACAGACATACATTATCTCTCGCAGTGTAATAAGGGAGCACCTATTAAAGGAAGGCCCAGCTTTACGCCAGAGACTTCCATTTATACTACTGCCCTGGGCTCTGAACATGTTAGCGGTGGCCCTTTCTGCAATAGTCCAAATGAGGGATGATAAGCTATATTAGAAGTAACACAATGGAGGGTATAATACAGGCTTGAGAAATATATTAAGGAGGTAAAGCAAAATGACTTAGTGATTAGAAATGAGAGCTTAAGATAAAGACAGGGGCCTGAGATGACACAGTGCATATCAGGGATAGATTCCAGGCTAATCAATTAAAATTACTTCTGGAAAAGAAAACATTGATGGAGATAGGAAAACAGAACCTTCTGACATTGAGGCTTCATTCAGAGGTGAACATCACCTATGTCTGATGTATAAGCAAAGATAATTCTCAAGTATGTCCATTGTTCTTTCCTTCCTCACATCTACAGCCACACATGAACCCCAATGCATTCTTGTACATCTGTAGGCCAAGGGTGCCTACTTGAAGTGAAACGACTCATTGTTTAAGAACACTTTCCACTCAAACTTTCTGGTATTGTCAAAACAGAGAAGTAAGTTATGTGGAAAAACAAAACTAGATTCTAAAAGAAGTAGGACTTTACAGGAATAGTGGAAGACGCTAGACTGCTCAGGGAAAATTTGGGGCTCTCTTCTGCAGGGTACAGACATCAGTGGTTGTTGAGTTGGGGAGATGGATCAGAGTCAGAGGAAAATAGAGACATCAGGACAGTCACCATGGAGTTCAAGTTAGAAGACAGTGGGACTGTGGCCAGGCTGTGGGCAAGCACAAAGAGGGGGTGGGTTTGCAGCCCCAAAGCTCCTCTGCACTGGAAGGTGTCGACATTTCTGAGAAATTCATTACAGCAGTTGCTTATGGAGACACTGGCCTCGGACTGTGAGACTGTCTAGACTTTGTGAGAAGTTTCCTACGTCACTAAGGGACACGGTCCGGCTCCTCCTTCTTTTCCTTATTGATTTAGTATCATGTACATCATTCGTTCCTGGAGGGTGGAATGGGGAAGGTGGTGGTGGGTAGTCACGATGAAAATTTAAAAGTAATAATAATGAGGAAAAAGGAGAAGCAGCAGATATAGGCGGGTGGGGCAGGGGTAAGCTCCCGGTTGGCAAGATTCCATTTAATTTGTCTTTCTATCAGTTGACCCCACACATTCCCTACCATAGAGTGTTAACCAATAAATGCTTGATAAATTACACTAAATCTACCTAGTTTCCTGCTCCTAATAACACCAAAAAGTTCAACCTAGTTTCTGTGATATGACTGCCCTTGCACTGTTCACCATGTAAGAACTTATTCACTATGTAAGACCTTGTTCACCATGTAAGAACTTGTTCGTTATGCTTCAGAAGATTGGAGACTGTTGAGATATAGGCTTGGGGTTGATTAATGACTGTGCATTGAGTCCCCTATACAGAATTATATTGTTGTTAACAACCATTTGATCAATAAATATGAGAGATGCCCTCTCAAAAAAAAAAAAAAGTTCAACCTAGTGATAATTTTACCAAGGATGGGCAAAATACAGCCTACATTTTAAAATGTTGCATATATTTTACTCCTCTCAACTTTCAGGAGACATATATCTCTAATGGACATAAATTTGACTTGACATATCCATTATGGTATTATTTCTGTGCCCTGTCTCCTCCTGAGAAGATAAGATTCTCAAGTACAGAAATCCTATTTCTTCCTTATTGTAATAACCTTATTTCTCTAATGATAAAAATACATCACACTTTAACACATTTCTGGATAATGAGCTCAGTTAATAATCCTTAAAAAGGCATACAGGCAACACAGGGTGTTAGAAAAATGATGGATTTGAATTCAAGACATCTGGGTTCAGTGCGTTCTCTCTTGCCACTTACTTTGTTTTTAATTCTTCATCCCCACCATCAATAAATTAAGGAACATTACTAATAAAGGTTTGTAAATTAGCTAAGACACTCACACATTGGGACTGAGGGTACTACGAATACACATGCTGGATGATTCTTAATAGGGAAAAGTAGCTTACCATTATTATTCAGCTCCACAACCAAAGTGCCTGGATTTTTGCAGCCTTACCTGTGCATTCTGGCAATGGGTCAGTCCACCCAACAGTGTTTCCCACTAGAGAACAGAAACTAGAACTTGCACCAACTAATTTGTACCTGAAGTAATGAGGGGAGAAAAAAAGTTAAGTTCTATTCATACATATTTGCCTTCCTTTAAATTCTCCAGAATATCATCTTAAAATATTTACTATACCACCACAGGGAGACAAAACAATAGATGATAAAAATTCGTATGGCCACTTAAAGAAAAAGCAAAACAATTAATAAAAGCTACTACCTAAAGAATAAAGAAGTATAAGACATGTTTTATTGGGGTGGGGCACATGTTAGGAAATACTGAAGTGTTCTAAAACATTTAAAAAGGATACAGATGCTCGAATGCTTTATATTTCTGAGTTCTAAAAGATCAATACAGTCTTTATAGAATAATAGGAAATACTTATATATATATATTTAAAGGGTTCAAAGTACTCCCAGATTTTATGTGATATTAATGATCCAAACATCTGTGTTTAGTGCAGGGGATATAGTGATATTGATATTTTTATTGTATAAAGACCAGGCATACACACACATTAAAATATCATAATTCAATTTGCATATTTTAAAGGAGAAAATGAATATAAAGTAACACTGATGATACTTAATGAGTTGTTTCCCCTACATAATGAACTCAGAAAACACATTAGGTCACAATGATATTTTCACAGTAGGAATAAACATTTTTAACCCATGATATTTTATAATAGGTCGTTAGCATATAGAAAAAGCCATATGCAAATTCATTATTTAGTTAAAGATTGGTTTCATATTTAACACTTGGAGAAGTTAATTTCCATAAGTATCAACATATCAGAAGTTTCTTCCTTTACTAACCACATGTAAAATTTTATCATGAATCCCTTATGTACTGAAATTTAAGTACTGAGAGATTTTGGGGTCACAAGGAATCTTTCCTTCTTGCCCGATTTTACTACATTTAACTGTGGTGGGCTAATGATGAAAGATCCTTGAGCAGAGGGGGTGTTTTATAGCTACTAACTTGTAAACACCAGCCACAAATCTAAAATTGCCCATCTTATATCCTAATTTGTTTTTACATTTGTTAAATACAGAGTGTACAATATGCCAAAACTTACCCTGTGTTACATGAGAAGAAGATGGATGCACCAAATAATATGTCGGTTGTTATCTTGACATGACCATCTTTTATTTCTCCAGGATTAGGACATGATTTTTCTAGAAGAGAACACAAATTGAGTTTTTTTCATTAAAATATCAGGCACATCTATGAAAATTCATCATCTGAACCATTGGAATTTCTTACCCTTAAATTTTTGTAACCCTTCCTTCATTTTGTAAGTGTCAAAAAAGCCACATATTCTGAATATATTCTTATTTGTTTTAGGTGACCATAAACTAGTTAAATGTGAAATCTGTGAGTAAATTAACATCCCCATCTCACAAGTAGTTAGTGTGCCTAATTTAAAATAAAATGATTCTAATGGCTCTTTTAAGAATCATTCTAAACAATAATAGCTACACAGAGACTTCCAGCATGAGGAAATACTATTTCCTCAAACACCATATGAATAAAAATACTTTAAAATCATACTCACTTTTACAAAATTCATCTGCTTTGGACCATGTAAAATTTGCAAGGCAAGTTAGTTTTCCTGACAGAGAAGGGTCCCTTTTGTAGCCCATACGACACTCATATTCCACCGTGGAACCTTCTGGAAAATAATTCTGTTCGCTATAAGGCTTTTTGAGAGACGCAAAAAGTAGCCTTGTTGGAACATCACAGCTACCTGAAAAGTATTAACAAAAGGAACAACAAAAAAAGCAATATTGCTTTATTTTATAATCTATGTTTAATTATCTGGAACTATCTGCTCCTCACTTCATCCCTTTGTCTGTACTTCTGTGCACATATTTGGCATTTAGCTATATTAATATCACTATGGCATTTACAGTGTATCAAGCATATGCACATATATACTTTCATTTCCTAATTACTGGAGGCCTGTGAAGTAGATTTGGTCCAGACATGTCACTACGCCCACAGCTCAGAAAATATAACCCACTGAAGTTGCCCAGCACAGCTCTGGCACTGACTCAGTAAGTGCCAATTCCCTTCCCCTGCCCCATGTGATACAGAGGTAGATGAGAACCAGTACTCCAGGTGCTAATGGCCTGAACAACAATAATAATAGTAATATTAATTGCTAACATATATCGAAAACTTCTAAATGTTTTACACATGTAAAGTCATTTAATCCCCAGAACACCATGGAGACAAGGATCAGATGAGACAATAGTTTACATAAAAGGATTTACAAGCTGTCATATCTGGGCAAATGTGACATCACAGAGGCATAGTATAGTGGAAGGGTCATCGGACCTAAGAGTCACAGGACTCAAGTCTGAACCCTGCTTCGCCTGCCTAAGAGCTGAAGATCTCAAGGAAGTGATTTAACTTCTGGGGACCCCTTCCCTCAACTGTAAAATGGGGATAAGAGTTCCTACTCATTCCATGAAGTTGTCCGGAGCATTAGATGAAGGCATCTATGTAGAAGACTTATAAACTCTGAAATATGATACATGTGCAAAGGCTTATGTACTTCAACCTACTGCCTTCTACCATAGAAAAAAGATAGATAAAAACAAAAAATTTAAGCTAATTTCACACTTGGTTTCAAAAAATCCTTGTGGCCATTTCTATAGTTACTGTAGCTTCCTTTGCTCCAAGTTGGTCAAAGACAGGAATTGAGTCTTATCTTTATCTTTCTTTATATGTCAAGGATAATAAAGGACTGTGCCTGGAGTGATAGGTTCTGACCTAAATATAGAGAACTTTTTAAAATACCACTACAGAGTTGTATTTAGTAAGTCTTACTTTACAAAATGAAATTTAAGAAAACAAAGCATCTATGTTATGTGTCTCAAGGTAATTGCCAAACATATGCATATATAATTTGCTCCCTAAACAATACCTACTGTTTATTTTCTCGATTAGTTGAGGAGGTACAGTGTTAGGGGGAAAAAAAACAAAACAACTGTTAATGAAGCAGCAGGACCTATTCCGGAAAGTAATGCCATCAATTAGCTGGAGTGTGAAGTGCCAACAGGTACACCCTGGGGCTTAATAAAGCTAGAAAACTATCAATTACCAGTCACGCTGAAGATGGATAAAATTAACAAGATGCATTCCATTGCCATACCTTTTCTAAAAAGAAATGAAGAACTTACGATTACAAAATTCTGCAACCGGTGACCACTTATTGTCACTCAGACAGACCGCGGAATCTGCCTTGCCAGGAATTTTTACAAAGCCTTTATTACATTTGTATGTTACCGTGCTTTGCTCAGGAAAACTTGTGTGACCTCCCAAAGTCGGTTGGGCATTAGGTACATCTGGGGGAAGGCTGCAGTCACCTACGGGGGAAAACAGAGCTGAAGGAAATACCACTTTTCAGTTCATAGCAACGTGCCTTTCCCAAGGGGAGTAAAGGAAACAGCAATGGTTTCTGCTGCACATGGAACCATTTCCATCCAGGGCTGAACTGACATGCTGAGAACTTGCCATGCTTCCTGTCTTATCAATTAATTCAAGACTAAAGCAAGTTGAGAATCAACCCCTCCCCTTCACTATTTAAAAAAAAAAAGTGGTTTAGAATTTATCTCCATACAGATGCTGTTGCTGGGCACACAGTAAAGACGGGTGCCCCCTAGGATCGTTGCAGCTGGAGGAGGTGACGTGCAAATCTGTCGTGCTGGGCGCTGCACACGACTGGACTCTGCTCAGAAGCGAGAGCAGCCCTGTGGCCTGCCACCCTTAGAGACTGCAGGGGCTTGAAAATCCTCGCTATCCGAGCCCTGCCCTTCGGCTTCCCGCGGTTGGCTGCCCCGCGCCCTCAGCCGGTGCTTCCTCCGCCCTGCACGCCTCACCCCTAAAGCCTCGCCAGCTGGCGGCTCGCGCAGCAAGATCCCCAATTGCTAGCGAGCCGCGGGGATCCTCTTCCTGTCCCAAGGGATCATGCCAGTCGGGGCTTTGCGCCTTCAAGGTGGGGAGTTACGGGAACAATTACCGAAGCCCACATTCCTCACCTCCCCGGGGCCCCAGACTCCTCGGTGGTCATGGAAGCGGACCCAGCCCCTCCCGCCCAGCCTCGGGGTTTGCCCAGCGCGGCGGGGTCCCCCCGCCCCGACTCACCCCTTGCAGCCGGGGGGCACAGCAGCAGCAGGGTCAGGCCGCCGAGGAGGCGCGACACTGCGGGGGCGCTCGGCCGCGCAAGTCGCATGGCCGCGGGGACGGGGACCGGCGCAGGGGCTGCGCGGCCTCGGCAGCGAGACGAAGCTGGTCCCAGGCAGGAGCGAGCCGTACGTAGCAGCGGTGCCTGGAAGTGCTGCACGTCGAGTTAAATTAGCGCCTTGGGCGGGGCTCGGGCACTAAATCACCAAAGGGTGGGGCGAACAGACGGGCGGTAAAGGGGTTTGCTCGCCCCAGGTGCTGGGCGGGGAAGGGCAGAGGCTCCGGCGTCCCTGGACTCGGGGGACCCTGGGCCAGGAAAGAGGGGCCCGGGCGGGAAGAGGAGCTCTCTGGAGCCAGGCTCAGCGTCTCTTTTCTTTTTCTTTGCTAGGGTGGGGCCTGCGACGAGCCCATCTGGAAAAGTAAATATCTGCTTTCTAAGTAAAAAAAAAAACTAGGGGGAACGGAGGAGAGGACGGTGGTTCAAGTGCAACAGGCCTCGGCTTCCCGGGAGTCTGAATCGGTTTAACGGAGAGGGAGCGCGCGAGGGCGGCGGGTGCGGGGCGCTCCCGGGGGAAACGGTGCCTCTGCGGGCCGGGGTCCTAACGCCTGGTGGTCCGCCCGTGCCCACGGGACGGGGACAGCTGCGCGGTGTTGTCTCCGAGCACAACTGCAAGTGGGAAACGGCTCCAGAAAACAGATGCCGCAAGACAGCAGGGAGTTACCATTTTCGTGCCTTGTTTGGGTGGGAATCACTTCCTGCGCCAGGATTCTCCTGTTCCACCAAGGACACTTCATGAATTCCACTTGGGGACTATTCTAGTCACCCTCCCACTAAGTAGGCCGTGTGTGTTGGGCGCGGGGGAGAAAAAAATCAAACCAAAACCCCAATGCCAGAAAGCTAAATTTTAAGAGGAAGATTTGTTTGTTGGAAGACCTTAGGCATTCGCCAGTGGTTTGCAAGGCTGGCCACACATTAGAATCACGTGGGAGCTTTTTTAAAAATCTAGATGTTCAAGCTACATCTCAGACAAGTTGAATTAGAAGTCTCTGGGGATGGGACTGGGGCACCAGGATTATTTAAAGCACTCCAGGTAATTCCACTGTTTAGCCAGGTTGAGAAGCACAGATCTTTGTGGTGCCCGTCAGAGTAAGCGGGTCACAGAGCCCGGCCGGCACAGTGCTTATCTATTGAAAGGCCAGCGACTCATCCTCATGGGGAGTAACTACAAGACCGTGTGTTTTCCTTTAGTAATTTACCTGGGTCTGGTTAGCAGGTCCTAGCCTAGGTTTCCTATCTGCTCCAGCCCCTTACCTGGGTAAGAGAAATCCCTGACTTTAATTAAGCCTTAGTCCATGGACCAGTTGTGGGGGGATTTGTGGCATCCTGTCATGAAATTCTTCTCTAAATGTTTTCTGTTCACTCTTTGTTGGTTAGTATGAGTGTTTTAAGGAGGAAAACAAGTTTGGGACAATAGTGTTTTCTCTGACTCACGCTTACTGTTCTGAACTGAATGAACTCCTTTGTGACCCAGCACTGGAGCGTATCATGGGGATTCCAGGAAAAGGACTCCTATAGGCTTTCATTGCAACCTATCAGTATTAAAACATTCTAGAGTTTGGAGGTTGGGAGGGGGACTTTTAAAATCATCTAGTGTGACTTACGTATTTGATATTAAAACACTTTACTTTTACTCCCATATTTGATATAAAAACACAATATACATCAGGGCTCAGTAGTGCTTTAGAAGTGACACCAGATTTTCATTTATTTTCCCTAAGAACCTCCCAAGACCTGAAGCGCCACTTCCTTCTTCCATTACTGGCAGATAGTGTGCTTTCCCCCTGAGCTCACAGAACCAGAGTGAAAGGCAAGGTGACATCAAAAAAACACTGCAATCAAGGCCAGTTCTGGAACAGAAGACTTAAGTTTGAGGTCTGTTAAGACCTCCTTTAGTGTTTATTAAATAAATGTCATTGCATTTTATCCAGAGTAAACAATGAGCTCTGTGGAGTGTCAAAAAAAATTATCTCTATCACCCAGCTTAGCTACACTAAATGCTGTAACCCTTCACCTTCCAAAGTACTTCGTTCTTGATAATACTTTTTTTTTAAGAAAAGGAACTTTTACGAGAAATAACTGGGTGGACTCTTTAGTAATACTTATACTACCCAAAAGAATTTCAACATTCTAAGGGCAAAAGAAAAAAAAATCCACTCTTCATTTACTCAATTTAGAAAAAGGATCTATGATGTTTTAAAAACCTATGCATTATTAAGAAGAATAAAATATGCAAATTTGTAACTTAATAAGGACTATTTAAAATAATGTCCTCAATTTGTTGTGTTCTAGTCACTTAATAAACATTACACTATTTCACCAACACCATTCAGGAAGTGCAAGTAATTGTCCACATTTTATAGGTGAGGAAACAAGCTGAGAAGCTAAATAATTTACCCAAGTCCATGCAGCCAGTTAAGTGACCAGGTCAGAATCTAAATCTTGTTTGTCTGATCCCAAAACCTGTACTTATCTCTCCTATTCTGTCAGATTATATTCTTTTTATTGGAATCAACCAGCAAAGATTTCTTCTGTGTAGGAGATGCTGAATTAGGTATTTGGGGTGATGATTTGGGAACCTGGCTGCTTCTGGGGTCAACAGGAGACCCAAGTCTTCATAATTGATCTACTGACAATGAGCTATGGGTCAGCTGAGTCAATCTACCCTCAGGGCCTCATTTCCACATTGATTAAGAAAGTCTGAGATTGAAATAGTCTCTGTAGAGCTTTCCAACATCATAATGGCATTGAGCTTTTGTATTTTTCTTGTGCTTATTTTGGTTATTCCAGTTATCTTCTTTCATAAAATATCTTCAGGTATTGGAAGCAATAGACAGGGAGGCATCTAGGTCCAAGTGGATAATGGTATCATTCTTTGCAGTAAAGCAGGTTGAAATAGATAAAAAGGTGATGAATATGAAAATGAGCTCACTTCCATATATTCTCCAGATAAACTCAAAATCATCTTACATAGATCTTTTATTCTGGAAAATTCTCTCATTTCTACCTATCAAATTTCTAATCTTGGTATAGAGGTCAGGGCAGGCTTACCTAGACTATGAATTAAGAGAGAGAAATGGCCAAATTTTGAATGATGCTTTCAGTACTCAGTACTCATCTTACTTAATATATCTGCAATATTTATTTAATGTTATTAAATTCCAGGGTCATAAAAAAGATAGACTGATAAATACAGTTTAACAAACATTTATGCAGTGCTTACAGTGTGCATGGTATTGTCCTAGAGTGTAAAAGATTCAAAGATAAGTTAGGTATTATACTTGCCTTCAGTAAATTCAAATCCCCCTGAGATTTTGACTTGTGCTTCAATCAGCCCGTATGTGGCAGAAGAGACAAAGAACATACCTATAAGGAGAGGCCACATGCTTTGAAACACAAGGATTGATGTATAGGAGGGGGAAAGAAAGAATATCTCAGAAGCCTTAGAGGAGGTAGAAAGAGATGGAGACCTTGAGGAAAGAGTAGTATTTTTCAACAGTAATTGCACTTATTGTTGGAGATAAATTGCCTTTTTTATAGCAGACTATTTGGCTTTATATGAGGAAGTGCAATTTATCCTAAGTAAATGCTCATCATTTGGGTAAATAGCTTTTATTTGAAAACTGAAAGATAAGTGGTAGGAAAATATTTACCCACTAATGAATACTTCTGAGAAATATCAAGGGAATGTTTAGCTTCAATTATCCACCAACAAATATAAGGTAACACGTGTTGTGGAAGGAATTTTGAAACCACTCTGACCTGGGTTGGAGTCTTGGCTTTGTCATCTGTGTTCTTAGGTCCAATCATTTCCCCCTCTGAACGTCTGTTTTATCATAAGCAAATGGATGTATCAATAGTTCCCTAGGGGCATTGCTGAGATGGTTAAGCAGCAAGGTTAGGTCTCAAACTATGAGTAATGCGTGGTCCTTAAATGAAAATTTCTGTCTTCCCTTCTCATCATTGTGCAATTCTAATGAGCAGAGATTGTAATTCTTCTTCTTAATTTGCAAGATCATAAACCAAGACAAACATAATGCAGATGGGATACAGAGGAGGTTGGAAAGGAGGACAATATTTAAACAAATCTCTGTAAATGACCTAATCTTTGCCAAAGAACAAATTCTGTTGGGTGGGGAAAGAAAAAGAGAACAGCTGAATGATCTCGACACATGCAGCATTTCTTTTGGAAGTTTTATATTTCTCTCAAGGATTTTTCAGTTTCTATATCATAGATTACCCTTTTTTTATAGGTTACCTGAAACATGGGAAAACCCAGGTATATAAAGTATTCATTCCTGTGAGTCTCCGCCATCAATTATTATTAATATTTATTGAGTATTTACTGTGGGCCGAGCAACATATCAAATGCTTTTGTATACAGTATCTCATTTTTTCCTTCACAAAAACCCTACAAGGGAGGTACTATTATCACACCTGTTTCATAAGTGAGGAATTTGTGGCACAGAGCAGTTGAATACTAGGCCACACAGAAAGCCAGGGAGCAATGGAATCAGTATTTGAGACAAGGCAGGTTGACTCACAAACTTGCCCACTTAGTTGCTGTGCTGTTACCTCCCATCACACTCACACACACACAGCCCCCCACACATACCACACACATACATACTCAAAACCATGCACATACATACACTACCCCCCCACCCCCCACCCCTTGCCACATGCACATAAATTACCTGGCATATCTGCCACCATCTCCACTTCACAAAAATTCACTGCTACCTCAGGAAATTCAGGCTTGGCAGAGAAATATTTGCTCAAGTAAGTCAAGCATTATACTTCCGTTTGGCAGCTGAGCCCTTCTTCACACACACAGGGAAGTCAGAGGCGGGGCAGGATGCCATCATGTCAGGTGCAAAGGCCACATGGTATTAGGCCACTTTTTCTAGGAGCTGCTAAATCTGTACCTAGAGAAAAAAACTACTGTCTCATGCAGTACAGACACCTTGGTCCAGTGGGTACCTGGAGAATCAACTTCCCTTATAAGAAATAGGAGTCTGCCCATTTGTTTCCATTCACTTTGTCCAAAACCCACTTCACTTATTCTGCAAAGCACAGTGGCCCTCATTTGCAGTTTCCTGACAAAAGTACCTCAGTAAAAATATTTCGTTTTCCTTTGGCCTTTTAAAATTAGCTGGGAATAATTCTAGGCTGAGGTAATATGAAATAGCCCGATTCCTTGGATGTGAAGAACTGACAGACACATGGAGTACTTTGGGGACCTGGAGGTTCTGGGTCTGATGCTGTGAGCAGGGAGCTTTCCTAGAGGAGGTGACGCCTGAGCTGGGTAACTGCGGGGTTAAGATCCTAGGCCAGCTCCACCCTCACAAGCCCTGTGGTTTGGGACTGGTTACTTAACTTCCCTAAACATCAGTTGCCCCACCTACAGCAAGGGTGGTAATATTTGGCTCACAGTTGGTATCCTTGGGCTTTCCGGAAATTGCACTGTCCTTTTCTCTTTCCACTATCCTCTCCTTCCCATTTATTGTCAGTATGCTGATGTGGGGGACCCTAAGCTCACTCTGTGGGATTCTGAATTTCTGTGTACTCTCTCCCTCAGTTACCTCAAGGTCAGCCTCCTCTCACCCATCCTCTGCCTCGTTCTTGCCTATGCGTCATCTCATGCTGTACGTCTCCACGCAGACACCCTGCCTAGGCAGTTTATGTTCCACATGCCTCCAGCCAAATTTGCTATTTCTTCCCTCAAGTACCTCTTGACTTTGACATAGATAGTTCTTTTACACAGGGCCCCTCATCTCACAGACACCAAACCTCTGAGTCATCTTTCGCACTTGTTTTCTTGTTTCTTTATCTAATCAGTCCCCATATTCTGTGGGTTCTTTCTGAGGCTCCTTTGGTCAGAATAGACCTGGACATTCAAAGGGCTATAATAATTGTATGAGAGGTTTTTTATTTTTTGGAGTCACAAGACTATTTCCCAAGTATCAATTCGTTAACTTTAAAATTTAAGTTCTGTCCCTCCCACCTTCAATGCCTGGACTATTGCACAGTTAGCTAAATTGGGTCTTTGCTTATAGTCACTCCCATTGCAACATTTTGCCCACAACTTCCAAATTCGCTCCGTGCTTGTCTGCTTAAAATCTGCATGGCTTCTAAAGAGCGTCAAAGGTGGGAGCCTTGCGGTTAGGGTTCTCTCAAATCTCTTGCCAGCCTCCCAGCCTCTCCTCCTAGGTCAGTGCCCCGTGTGCTCTCCTCACTGACTCCTTACTGTTCCTGCCTGCACTCACCTTCTCCTGACCCAAAACCTTTGTTCATACGGTTCTTATCTCTTTTCATATTTACATGCATTCATCTTATTTAGCTGAATCACTAGGCTGTTAGCCTCCTACACCCAATTGCCAAACTCCTCTCTCTTTTTTTGGAAGTCCCACACCACATGGACTGTGGCATTCTCATAGCATTTATCACATACACTCTCCCTGCTAGATGATGGATTCTTCAGCGCAAGTATTGGCACTTTGTTGCTGTGCTTCTGAATACTAAGGGCTCCCCAGCTCATTAAAAGCCTTGATTTAGTTGTCGGTTCCAGGGACAGGGATGAGAGCTATGCTCCTTAACTTCTGCCAAAATCACAGACCTATTTTCTATTTTTTAAATAATAGAACATAAATAAACTTATCATGTTTGATATGCAAAATCAAAAACACAAAGAGTTACTACTAAATACTCATTAGGATGACAACAATTTTAAAAGACTGAAAAATAACCCAGGTATTGGTGAGGGTATAAAACCACTGGAACGCTCATATACATCGCCAGTGAGAACACAAAATGGTAAAACCACTTTGGAGAACACATTGGTGACATCTTCTCAAGTTAAACAAATACCTTATGATCCAATAATTCCATTTCTACGTATTGATCCAGGGAAAATAAAAACATGTCTACAAATGACTTGCACATAAATGTTCATAACAACTGTATCCATAATATTCACAACTGGAAGCAATTCAAATGTCCATCAACAGACGAGTGGATAAACACATTGTGCTGCAGTCATACAAGTACTTAGCATTACAAAGGAACAAATTAGTGAAACAA